GTGGCCAACACGGCGCACATGATACCAAGGAGGAGGAGAGCAACGACAACATACACCCACGTGGCCTGCCCCACGCCTGCCGTGCTGTTGGAGCCAGCAGGTGTGCCCGGCGCCGCTGTTGTCGTGATGGCGACAAGCGGAACGCCAACGCTGCATGCCCTGTCTGAAGTGGGCGTGGGCCGCGTGCTTGTGAACTGGCCAGGTCTGCATGATGTAATGGGTGCACACGTGCGGTCTGACGTTGCCGTGGGTGACCGTTGCTCGTATTCGCCTTGCGGGCGCGGGCACCGATGTGACGTGTAGTTCATGGCGAGCTGTTGGATTCGTGTGTGTGTGTGTGGGGGGGGGGGGGTGTGGAGGGTGGTGAAAGAAGGGAAATGGCGTTGAATTGAGGGGGGTGCGGTGGGCAAAACGTGAGGAATGACAAAGAAAATATGGGAGCTGTGATGTAAGAGGGGTGTGCTCTGTGGTGGGTCCATACATGTGTGGCTCTTGTGTGTCGCACAGTCTCACATAATATATGCACGCACATACACAGACACAGACGCAGACACAGGCACAGACACACGCACACGCACACAGACACACAGACACAGACACACAGACACACAGACACACAGACACAGACGCACGCACACACCTGAAGGCAATCGCGTGTTCCGCGTGTGCAGGAAGCGCAGAGCGATGGGAGCGGAGCACCAGTCTCGGCGAAATAGCGGCAGAGATTAATAGTCAGCGACGCACACGCAGACAGCGACGCGTTTGTTGGCGGGTCTGACACAGAGGTAGGGGAGTGGGCATTGGGGATGAAGGGTAAGGGGTGGGGATGAGATGTGAGTGCGAGGTAATGTGGGTGTTGATGATGATGGCGGTGGTTGTGAGATGTCTGGTTTTAGGAAAGCACAGCAAGAACACGATCGAATAGCAACAGCAACAACTCAAGAAGGACGTGCTGTTGTTTCCTCCGCGCCATCCAGTCACAACACCTGGGAGAAAGCACGCTTCGCAGACATCGGAGAGGATGGCGTTGAAAGGGGCGCACGTGGTGTACGACTCGCACACGCGGTCGCTGATGGACGTGCGTTCCTGCAGCACGTACTCGCTGCCATCATCCGCACACTCCGTAACACGTGTGCACACGCGGTTGGTGGTCAGCGTGGGCGCAGCGCTCTCGTACTCCACATCGAGGTTGCACGGCGCACGCACCTGCGCGCACCGTCGATTGCTGGTAGGTGTCAGTGGGCGCGTTTCGTACGACACGCGGGGAATGCACGTGTCTGCAGCGCCACACACGGCATCGCTGGTTGCCGTTGCCGCCGTGGCCACGTACCGCTCCGTGTCACCCTGCTGCTCGCACGTGCGCACGCGCTTGCACTCGCGGTTGGACGTGGGTGTCAGCGGCTGCTGCTCATATGTGCCCGTGCCATTCGCAAACAGCATGCACACGTCTGCGTCCGCACACTCGCGGTCTGTCGTTGCGGTTGCTGCCGCTGTCTCATATTGGGTGTCCGGGTTGCAGGTGCGAAGGCGCCTGCACTCGATGTCTGAGGTTGCCGTGTGTGCGCGCGACACAAACATGCCCGCGCCACACGTGGGTGGGGAGCGAGGCACGCACACTGTGTTGGAGGTTGGCGTTGCCTCGGCTGCGATGTAGTGTGTGTCCAGGTTGCAGTCGTCCACACGCAGGCACACCCTGTTGCTGGTGGCGGTGGGCGCGATGCGTTCGTATTCACCATCACCGCACACATCAAGCTGAACACACTTGCGGTCTGTGGTTGCTGTTGGTGCGCGCGTCTCGTACTCCACGCCCTCACGACAAGCGGCAGTCACATTGGCACACACGGTATCCGCCTGTGCGCGGCACGGCACAAGCGCGTACTGGTTCTCTGCACATGGCGAGCACTCTGCACACTTCACATCGCTCGTGCCAAAGCACGGCTGCGTCTGGTAGTGGTTGACGGGGCAGTCTGAGCACCGCGTGCACACACGATCTGTTGTTGCCGTACACGGGCTCGTCTCGTACTGGGACAGAAGCGCGCACGTGCGGCACCCGCGGCACTTTGTGTCTGCAAACTGCGAGCATGCCGCTGTCACGTGGGAGCCCTCGGGGCAGGTTTGCCTGCAGGCACCGCACATGCGGTTGGTGGTGGGCGTGGCCGCCATGATCTCAAACGTCGGCTGCACTTTATCGACAGGGTCACACGTGCTCAAGTTGGCGCACCTAGGATTAATGGGAGGGGGAGCGGGGTGAGGACACAAATCGGCGATGTGTGTGTGCGTGTGTGTGTGTGTGTGTGTGTGTGTGTGTGTGTGTGTGTGTGTGTGTGTGTGTGTGTGTGTGTGTGTGTGTGTGTGTGTGTGTGAGGACCTTACAACCACCAACGTGTTGAAGAGCGAGCAAACATCGCGCAAGATCACGACTGCATCATGTATGTGCAAGGCGACGCACCTCCTGTTGGTGGCGATGGTGCACGGAACGGTCTCGTACTGGTGTGCACTGCACGTGTCGCACTGTCTGCAAACAGTATTACTTGTTGCCGTTGCTGCCGCCACCATGTATTCGTCACCGTCAGCAGCGCACGCCTTCACGGGCTGGCACCTGGTGAGAAGGGGGGGGGGGGAGGCAAGAGATATGAGTCGTGGATGTGGCAACGTGAGCGCGGATGAGCATGTGTGTGTGTGTGCGTGTGTGTGCGTGTGTGTGTGTGCGGTGTGTGTGCGTGTGTGTACGTGGGTGCATGCGTAAATGTGTGATTGGAACGAACAACACTCATCCGACGCCATCTGACGCCATCTGACGCCGACCGACACTGCCATACGTCATCCACACATACGGAAACAATCAGGCGCATGCACAAGCAGCCAACAAACGCACACTCTGTTTGATGTTGGCGTCGGCGCCACTTCCTCATATTCATCAGCAGTGCACGTGCGAAGTGCGCGGCAGTCTGCAACGTCAATGGAGGCGTGTCATGAGGTGTACGGAAGTGGAAAATGCGTGTGTATGCGTGAGTGTGTGCGTGTTTGTGCGTAAGCTTGCACATGTGTGTATGCGTGTGTTGGCAGGACACTACACACCACTGCTTCACGCATTCAAACCTACACCAACACAGCATTCCTTACCCACACCCACACCTACACTCACGCGTGCACGTACCGCTGTCTGCAGAGATGGTGGCTGGTGTGAGGAGGTATTGCGTTTCATCGCAAGGCGTGACGTCCTCACACGTGCGGTCTGAGAAAACAATCAGGGGAGGCGATGGGACAAAGCGGACACACAAGGAGAACATTAGTGCTGGGATGAAAGGCTTGGCGTTGTTAATAAAGGTGAACTTGACAAGCATGCCGTCACAAACAGTTGCACACACACACACTTGCACACACACACACTTGCACACACACGCACACGCATGCACACACACGCACACACACACACACACACACTTGCACATACACACACACCTGATGTTGGAGTAGGCTGCTGCTGTTCGTATTGAACGCCGAGGACACACGGCGCAGTGACGTTGGTGCACCGTCGATCAGATGTTGGTGTCGGTGCAGCGCTCTCATACTGGACCCATGGCGTGCACGGCGGTGTGAGCCGGGCGCACTCACGATTGCTCGTTGGTGTCGGCGCTAACATTTCATACTCGCGCGTGTCATCGCACGCGCGCACCTCCTCGCACTGTGCGTTGGACGTAGGGGTTGCAGCGACGGCAGTAAAGAACATCAACCCCGTGTCACCACCATTGCCACCATCGGCCTCCTCGCTGCACTGCGTGACGTTGCGACAGACACGGTTTGATGTGAGTGTGGGTGGCGTCTCTTCATACTGCACACCAACTGGACCGCATGTGATGATGGCTGCGCAGTCGCGGTTGGAGGTCGCCGTGGGTGCAACAGTCTCATACTCAATGTCCTGCAGGCACTGCTTTAGGGGGCTGCACACGATGTTGGAGGTGGGCGTGGCTGGACTGGAAATATACTCCAGTGACGGCTCGCCGCACATGGTGGACACGTTTGCGCACACGCGGTTGCTGGTGGGTGTCGGTGGCGCCTGTTCGTACTCCCACGGCTGGCACGTGCCCACGAGCACGCACGAGGGAACAGCAAGGCCCGTTCCCTCGCCTGTTGCAGACACAAAGTAGCCATCAGGGCACTGGAGGGGCTGTGCTGTTGCGTTCTCCAGCGAAGGGTGCACGGCTTGCAACGCCTGCAAGACGGCCTGGTCACTACGCAACAGGGTTGTCACGTTCTGCACGCTGCTGGTTGGCACAAGCGCGCGGTATGCAACATCCACGCTGCCCTCACGCAGGCGCGTGATAAACACTTTGGACGGGTCGAGAGGGGTGCCAGTGACAGCTCCAATGATGGATGCGATGGTGGCGGGGAAGGTGGCGATGGGAAACTGCGCCAGCGACACGCCAACAAGATAGAGACTTGCGTCCACTTTCTTCTCGCCGTCACACACGCGGTCGCTGGTTGCTGTCGGCGGCACCACCTCAATCAAGGGGCGCGTGCACGTGCGTACGGGCAGGCACACCGTGTCGCTGGTTGCCGTTGGGGGCACTGCAATGTACTCGCCATCGAGGTTGCATGACGTGACTGTCATGCATTCTCGGTTGGTGATGTAAGATGCCAGGCCGCGCTGTCGCAGATCAAACGGCGCCAGCTGTGGCAGCATCGACGCGAGCTCATCATCGCTGCACGTGGTCAGGGCCATGCACGTGCGATCACTAGTGGGCGTGGCAGGCGTGCTCTGGTACGAAAACTGGCTGCACGGTGTGGTTGGCGCACACACGCGCGCGGACGTTGCTGTTGGCGGAGCAGTCTCGAATGTCGTGACGCCGTCGCACGTGCCATGTGGTGCACACATCCGATCACTGCTTGGTGTCGGAGGCATGGCCTCATACTCTGTATCAGGATCGCACGACGAAATGCGCGCGCACTTTGCGTTGGACGTCGGTGTGGGCAATGTCTTGACAAACTCGCCAACAACA